ATGCCTAACGGTCACGGAGAAAATTCAAAAATAGTGTAATTAAAAATTCCCATGTTATTCTTATGGAGAAAATGAAAATTGTTGTAGTTTACTTGTTTATGAGTATATATTGATAAAATTTGGCAAATGTATTTATTTCATCCTATACTATTGATGTATGGTCAAAAAACACTTTTTACCTTTACCGTAGCAGCAAACCTAAGCACTTGTTAAATCTAATGTTATTTAAATAGGGAATAATATGTCTTATTTATGGAAACATTTTAGTAAAAATGTAATCAGACAAGTTGAAATTCGCTTAGTCTGCAGGTTTGCTGCGGCGGGGGTATTTTTTATGTTGTAGTTAGATTTTGGTTTGGCTAGACTTTTGCATGGGTTGTTCAAAGTATTCTCATTTTCTACCTACATTTCTGTCTGAAGGATATTGAAACGGTTATCACATATGACACCTAAATCTTCTGTGTTAGACCTAAGGGTTCTTGAAAACCTTGTATTATTTGTTACGGTTTGGAAAGACGGGTAGCAATTCATGCATTTTGTATCGTCTCTCTTCAATTCACTTAACTGCTTAGTTAGTTCTCTATTGTCCGTTTGCAACATGTCTATAACCAACTGCTGGTTCTGACATTCTAACTTGTATTTTTTAAGCTCCTGTAATATTATTTGAGTTAGAAAGTCTTTTGATTGTGAGATGTCACCATCTGCCTGAACTTAGGAACATTGGATATCCTCTGCCAGACTATCATGAAGGGTGACTTTACCATTATCAGGTGGACATTGTTGAATGTTCAAGTCTGGATGTATGTTTACACCTACAATTTGTGTCTGGTCTTGTATACCTGGTGCTGGTCCATGAACTCCTGTAGAGGAATGTGTCGCCTTAGAAGGTGTTTTACTAGGTTTTGTTTTCTGGTCAGGTGTGTTAGGCTGTGAGTGGAAACTTTTATTTATACTTTTCCTACTTAAATTTAAACTTCCCTCAATTTCCTTCATTGCTTTAGTAAAAACCCCACTTTTTGATTTTGAGCTACTACCATGTTTGTGTTTGTTTTCTAGATAAGAACAAACATCAACTTCCTTTACTAGTGCAGTCTCCTGAGTTCCATAGAAAGTCACATTATATTTTACTATTTTGCTTGTGGTGTCAATAGAATCAATAATTGCTGGCCAATAAGGATGGCCTTTGACCTTGGCAAAAATCCGTTCTTCAACTTTATATTTACTCTTATTTTCGTTTTCCATTGGTAGGATTTAAAAATGCTGGTTACATATAAATTGGTCAAAATAACGTAGCCTATAGTATTATGTAAATAGACAAAAAAATATTTATTATTGATTACAGGGCACCTTTGATGTATTTCTTGGTGATTATATGTTAATGACAATAAACTAGTCTAACTGGAAGTTCCAGCTTTGTTGTTCACTAGAATCTTGCCAACTACAGTATCTTATACTGTCTATCTATACAATTTAAATAATATACAGTATGGCACACAACTCTTGATTAATTTATTATTGTATTTTCAACGCATACAGATGCTTGTGGAAATAAAGGATATTTTACTCTGCAACAATGAGGTTATCCGAACTATCCTTGTTAAGAACAGTTGTCCTAATTACTATTGTATATCATTGGTTAGGTAATCAGTAGTAACCACAGAATATTTTAGAACATCTAGGATTCTGATGATTAGCAGTTAAGTTGGTAAATAAACCAACTGATAAGAGATAACAATTTAAGGTAGGTACCAGTTTGTCCTTGGCCAAGGCCAGGCTAGTCAGTTGTGTCAATTACTTATCTTGATTCCAGAATAATCTCCATTGACTGTAAAATTTAACTTTAGTTGTGATTAGTTTAAGTGCAGGTTGTATATTCTTCATATATTAACACCGTTTATGGAAAATGCAGGTAATATTTTCCTAGTGAAAATTCTCTTGTAGGTTATAAATAGAATACTGAGAATATTTATATATAAAGATTTAATAAAAACCGACACTTATTTAATAGTTTTATATATAAACACTGTATCATTCATTTACTAAACACTTTTACACTAAAAACTGCTTGATTTAATAAAAAATAACTGAAAAATGAGGACTGATAAAAACACCTGTATTACCTTTATAACCTCAAAAACCAAGCCAATTTTTAGACAAGAGTGCTTTGAATTGGAGAAATGTGTTATGAACTGTCAAGACTTGTTCACTTCTGTTACTTAATCTCACCATAAAACACCAAAGTCCTTCGAAACTCTGATGATCAACATTTTAACGAGCTAGGACTTTGGTGGTCTCCAGCAACAGTTTTTAAGTTGTTTCCCAGCAAAGATGGTATAGGTTGAAAAGCAGAAGTTGAAAAAAGCAACCAGCTGCTATATCCGGCCTACAACAAATTTTGTGTTAATGTGTTTTGTTCTAAACTAACTGTTGAAGTGAGGACACTTCAAGGCCGGGAGTATGTTCAGTTCATTTACATAATATTTTTTCTTTAGCCTGTTTAAAACTAACTAGAACAGCTGATGATTTTTTAATAATTCATAATATTGTAAAAATAAACATCCATTCTGATTCTTCTTGTTACAATGACTTGATTAATTTTCTCTAATAATATTAAAATTAAACACAAACACTCCACAGTTATAGCCCTTTAAATTCTGAACAAAATGGTACTAATCCTGTTCCTTGTAAAAATTACGGTAAACAAATACAGTGCAAGCCCCCATTGATGTACAAATTTAAGGCTCAAAATTAAATGCAACTATTGTGATTTTTCCTATAAGATATGCTCCCTCTGTTTACCCATGATAAAGATTGTTGACAAGCTAATGGGAGAAAGTATGTGTCAGATTGCTGATACCGTTTATTTAAGATTTAAGGCAGAAATGGGTTTCGCGGTATGCATCATCTAATCATATGAAACATGTGTTAATAATGAACAAAGTAACAGCTTCAAATAACAGCTGATTGTTGTATTGTAATTTCATTGATTTTTCTTTGTTTACATGTTGTTGTTCACAATTTGAATTCGTGGTTAAAGTGTGCTCCTTATGTTATGTGTGCGTTTCTAAAGTTATGTGGTTAACCTGTACTAATAAATATTAGTGAATGGATGGTGTATGGATTTCATAACCATTATTTTCCTAGAGGCCGTTGTATTTAACCACAACAGGAATGATACTAGTCAATCCATATAGAAAATTTGGTAAGATTTAAAAAAAATTATATCGGCTTTAGAATAGTAGTGAACACATCATAATCTTCTCCTTTGATCGCGGTAACATCATTAATTTTCCCTGCGTTTACGGAGACATCATAATGTTCCCCCGTTTTTGCGGTAATATCTCGACGTTCCCTAGCGATCAACGAGACATCCTAATCGACTCCTGTGACCACCAATACCTTGACAATTTTCCTTGTTAAGACATCATCATTGAATGATACAGTCTAACCTTTATATAACGAACCTCGATATAACAAATTCCTTGACATAACGAATTTTTATAAATCCCCTAGAACCCTCCATAAGACACAATGTATATTTTACCTCTACATAACGAACAAACCATAAAAACGACCTTGATTTAACAAATTTTTCATGATCCCGGCTAAAATAAGACACCTCAATATAACGAATTTATCATTGTCAGAACCTCTACATAGCGAATTTAACCTCTACTTAACAAACTGTCTGCGTCTCTCCCTCGATACAACAAACCCCCCACCCCCATTATTGTTTTTTTTTTAATTGTTTTAAAATATTGTTTATTTTCGTCAAATGAAATGGAAGGGTGACGTCAACGCTTGCGCTAACATTCGTCTGCTCTATTTTAACACATCACTGTCTGCTGTCGTAGCTGCATGCGCGCTATAATACAACTAAGAACTGATTTCATTCACTAAGGACTGATGACGACATAATGTTTAGTAAGCTGTGATTGGGTGATAAGTAACTATGGTGACTTGTACAATTTTTGGATGAAGAGAAACCTAAGAAAGAAAAATAATAGAAGAACAAAGCAAAGAGAAAGAATAGCAACATCGTTATCTTAACATTCCTTTTACAAGTGTTTTTATTAATCTTTAAGTTGGCTATGATTATACACTTTTATAACGACTTATCAAATATTTTTATTATTTTCAATATGATTTGTTTAAACTAAGGCAACACCAATGCTATAGTTGATGATTATTACAGTATTAACATTGCTCTGTTGTGATTTAAAGCTCTGTAGTCTACCGGCCTATCATGCAGTAGCTTACTTAACACCCTACTGTTTTGTTTAGTTCATTACGTGGTTTGTTGCTATACAATACAGTGTTTAGCTAGGTTTTAGGTGAATTAGAGCAAGCTGTGATTTTAAACTTACAGTACCTTGTACCAAGGTCAATGGCTAGAAATTTCATGATTGCGCAATATTAAAAATCCCTCCCCTTTAGTAGGCCTGCCCCGGATAATCGAGGGCTTCTACTTTACAATGTAAACACTGTACTGTAAAGTATTGTCGCCTAGGCTACTTTAATTATGTTTTAAGGTCAAATCCCGACCTATATTGACTGATGCTGGTTCTGAACCTCGACTTAGCAAAATTCCTGCAAACCTAACCTCAATATAACAAACCTTGTTTTAACGAAATCCTTGATATAACGATTCAGTTCGGTCCCTTCAGATTCGTTATACCGAGGTTGGACTGTACAATCGCGACAAAATTATGAGCATTTTTGCGTTAAGTCATCATATAGTGGCGACGAACAAATTTCCATTATATATAAATAACCAAAATTATGTTGAAATTGTTTACAGAATGTATGTAAATAACAATGTTTTATGTTTACTCAAACACTTTATATATCGTCAATGGCAATATGTATCCCAGTGGTGCAAGTGTTGTCCCCCCCTCTGGGCACCCCTAAGTAGGCTATCAGAAAAAACTTCGCAACTTTTTTCAGTTATTGGGGGTTAACATGTACATGCATAATCTATATTTTTAACTATAACTCACCTTGTAAAAATTGAACACAAGATCCAGTTCACATACATTGTGGAAATATTCATTTAGAACTTCTACAAAGTTGTGGATAGCTTCCAGGTAACATAAGTTGTTGTCGTTAACATCCACACAGATACAGAAGTACAGTCCTGCATATCTTCTATAAACTATCTTGAAGTTTCGAAACTGGAATGAATTAAAGTAGCTAATACTTTTAATGATTATTTCATTAATATTACAAAGGAATCTTTAACGAGCAATAGTTATGGTTCTGCCAATGAAAATTGTAGTCAAAGAGATAGGAATAATATAAAAAATTCTTTCCATTTAACGCCAGTTGATGAAAAAGAAATACTAACCATTATTCAAAATCGAAAAAACAAACATGCTAGTGGTTATGATGAAGTGCCTATTAAAGTGATTAAACATGTTGATAAAGCTATTGTTAAGGTCTTAGTTCACTTAATAAACTCATCTTTTGTGTCAGGTATATTTCCATCAAAACTTAAAATTGCAAAAGTTATTCCTATACACAAAAGAGATTGTCCAAAAAATCCGTCAAATTACAGGCCACCGTCAATTCTACCCACAATTTCAAAAATTTACGAAAAATCTGTCTATACTAGATTAATGTACTTTCTCGAAAGTAACTGCTTAATTAATGGCAACCAACATGGATTTAGGGCTGGAAAGTCGACCAAAACAGCAACTGTTCAATTTATTGAGTCCATTATTGATGCCATTGATAGGGGTGAAAAATGTATTGGACTATTTATGGACCTACAAAAGGCATTTGATAGAGTCTGTCATGGTACGAGTACCATGGTTAAAATTTTGACACAGTTTGGTATTAAAGGCAAAGCACTTGATTGGTTCAGATCATATCTAACCGATAGGCAACAGTTTGTTGAAATAGCTTCTACAACTGGCGGAAAACAAACAAAAATAAATTAAAAAACACAGTGCATAAAATTTGGAGTCCCACAGGGGTCAATATTAGGCCCATTATTATTCATTATATACATAAATGGAATTAATGATATATTGGTTAATCAGAATGCCAACAAAGTAGTTCTGTATGCTGATGATTCAAATTTGAAAGTTTCAGGACCAACCGATGAACATATTAAAAGATCTGCAGAAGAAGAGTTAAAGAACATAGTTTCATTTTTGACAAATCTAAACTTACAGATAAATTTTAATAAAACAAACTTTATAAATTTTAATACAAATAAGAACCAAAATGGGTTTTCAACAGAAATAAAATTAAATTACAACATTATTTCAGAAGTAACGGATGCAAAATTTTTGGGTTTAATTGTGGATTGCAATTTAAACTGGAATAAACATATTAACAAAGTTAAAGGCAAAATTAATTCAGGAATTTATGTCCTTAGAAGATTATCTAAATTTTGTGATTTAGCCACTTTAAAAGTAATATATTTTAGCTTGGTTCACTCACATTTGGCATACAACATTTGTGTATACGGAGCAACAACTCACAAAAACTTAAACAAGATATTGAAACTCCAAAAGAAATGTATAAGAATCATGCTAGGTTTGAAGTACAAGGCTCATGTAAAGGATAGGTTTAGGGAACTGGGAATTTTGTCGGTGTTTGATTTATATATATATATGAATGTGTTATGTATGTGAAGCAAAACATGACTAATACTAGTTTTCTTGGCCATAATCATACTTATAACACTAGACACAAAAATGATTTGAAATTAGAAACACATAGATTAGAATTAAAAAAAAAGACCACATATAAGGGTGCCAAATTCTTTAATAGATTGCCCGAAAGTTTGAAAAGTGAGACTAACATTAAGAAATTCAATAAAAATTTAAAGGCATTCATGATTGAGAACACTTGTTATTCAATTAATGAGTTTTTTAAATAAAATAAGTTAAATGGCGTTGTTGGTAAAATTTGTTGGTAAAAAGAGGTGTTCTGTATTATACTTGTAAATAGATTAATTTTAATTTTAATGTACCTATTTTTATTTCTTAGAAATAAGATCTGACACCATTCATTGTACATAAATTGTACATATTATGAATAAAGACATATTTGATTTGATTTGATTTGATTAAAAAAGTGAGAGTTAGGAAATAAATACCATGTAATTTATGTTAAATAAATATCCAATCAGTCTAGCATGTAAATGAAACAAGGTAAAAAGTCACGATAGCCAATAAAATTATGTCTTAGTATATTGTGTACTTGGGGAATTTGTTATATCAACCTGAGTAAAGAGTGACCATGATTACAAGTCACAACGATGTCCATATAATTCAGTCATTGCTTCTTAAATAAAATAGAAAATTTTACTAACTTTTACTAATTTTTGTATTACAAATAGAATTTGCAGGAAACTACTTTGCACTCAATTACATAAATTACTTTAAAACTCTAGGGTTTTTTTAAACATTCCAAATCAAATTTATATAGGAGATAACATTTTTTATTAAATGTTTCAGAGCTTTGACAGAACTTTCAAATTGCCTAATAAGTCTAAAAAGTATTCAAAGCTATGAGAATTAAATGTGTATAGAATCAGAGAATGTGAGTTAATAGAATCAGAGCCATGAGACCCTGTGGAAAAAATATTGAATACTGAGACTTAAAATGTAAATTAATGTAAGCTTAAGCGCCCTTTGTAACCCCCTTTGTATTTTTAGCCATTAAAAACACTGCACATTTTTATTTACTGAGTATCAGCATTCAAAAGAGACTGTTGAAACTACAACATTTTACCCTCTTAAAAGTACTACAAATGTTACTATTGATTCATAAGGATAGGCCTAATCCTAAATATTTTGAATAGGCACCGCAAACAATTCTATAACTTAAAATCTTATTTTAAATTACCTCCGAGCACTGGGGAATTTGGTGAAGATAAAGATAAACACGATTTAAAATTAATTTCTTTATCATTTGTCAGACCTGTGCAATTAAACTTTGGTGCAAGATTTGCTTATAGTACATCTTTGTACATTGTCTTTTTTATCAGTATTTTTGGCTGTTGGAAAACTTCAAATACTTTAGAGTTCCAATGGCTCACTTACCTCAACAAAATTGGTGTGTTTAGCATCACGTACAGTTACAACAGCATGGACCTCTTCAATCAACTTTTGCTTTTCATCATCATCAAAATTCATATACCACTTAGCTAGTCTTGTCTTACCAGCTCTGTTCTGGATTAAAATAAATCGAATCTGAAAAGTTAAACATAAAAATGAAGTACCTACTTAAGCACAGTATCAATCTAGAATTGTATAAAACACATAGGCCTAGATTAATCTATACTTAGGCCTATATTATATTGAAATTTATATTATGAAATTTGGTTATGAGGGACAGTTAAATTTAAATTGTGTGCCGATCTTAGTGCTCACTAATCAAATTTTATAGACTACTTAGCAGTTACCTGGCGCTGGACTATTATTTTGAATGGTAATGTGTTGTTTACGATAAATAATAAAAAATGTATACCGAAAACAAATTTTTTATATCCTATTTATTTTACATTAATGCCAGTGAATAAACAATGTTGTAGCAAATTTCCCTAAAGGGAAGTAGGTATTACCGTAGGTCTCATGGTAATAGGCCCAGGACCTATTTTCTTTTTCATTTTGATGTCTTCAGCGGTCAAAAACACCATCCGTTCAAAATTTTATATCCAGTAAACCTTGGATAGTTCGCCACTCGATAGTTCAACACTCCTTGTAGTTCGGCACGGGCTGAACTATTTTGTTAACACGTAGAGTGCGGCCGTTCCCAATCGGGTACGGCGCTTGGCCCCCGTACGGTGCGTCCGTACCCCATCGAGAACGCTTGGTAATGCCTTTTGTACATCTTCGTTTTTGCTCTAGCGTCGGCCGAAAGCGGACCTATACCACGTTAGCGTGTAGTATGTGACTTGCATTTTGTTGTGGTGTAGGTTGGTAGTAAATTTCCCCATAAAATCCTCGTCTGGCAATCTCAAAAGTCTTCTTTTTGTCCTGTCTTTTTCCCTCCATTTGGCAATACAATTCCAAAGGGACCGGCTACGTTCCAAGCAGTGCTGCTATCTGTGGGTGTTTAGTGAACTACATCGACTCTCGTTGTAAAGCAGGACATCCCCTCACGTTATTTGCTATTCGTCAGACCAAAATTGGAAAGCCAATCACACGCGGCAATCAGGTTTACTCGACGCTGAGGGCTGCGCCGCACTGGGGATACGCCCGCTATTTGACGTGCCGCAGCGAACGTGTTAAGTGATATTTAATGGTTACTATTGTGATATAAGCTGTCTTAAACATTAATTTGCATTTATTGTTGACTTGAGACTAATGAACAGTGAAATTGTTAAGCTTTTTAGTATTTAATAAATTTGAGTCATAATAGTTAAATAAATCATCTGTCAAACTACATCATAATGGTGATAGAATGACGCTTATTTGATGTTCCCAACTCCAACAGTAAGGGAATAAAAGGCAAATTAGGATTTAAAAAAAATAATGGTAGTTGTTATGAAAAAATTTATATTACTAATTGATAAAGATATGCATTGTTAAAACAAAGGTCATTTTTGAAAACCTCACAACATTTACAATAAGAATAAGAAATAAACATTTGGGATATTGAATGATATTCTACTTAAAATTTTTAACAAAAATAAATATCCTTATTTCTATGTTGCAGAGTTCCGCTGAAGGTATAAAATATTATCAAAAACTTCCACAACAAATAAGCTTTAAAATTAAGTATAACTAGTGTACCTGTTGCTCGAATTTGAGCAATTGCGAAGCATTACAGGGTTTTTTTTAAAACGAATAATGGTCATAATTTCCGATGACTTTATAAAAGTCGACTCAAAGATTATGGAAATACTCACGATGTACACAACAGTTAGATATAACCAAAATTTTTTGTAAATATCTTATCCTTTTTTAAAAGCTGATCTTGTTTTTTAGAGTTTTCTACAAATGTTCCCCACTCATAGCCGCATTAGGTTCACTATAATAACGATTATAAATGAAGGAAAAAAACATTATTTGTATTTCTTCTAATTCAGTTTTATTTTTAGTAGGCCTATATCAAATTGTCCAGGATTTCTCGCTTTTTTCCATTGTAATAATTACACCAACCCAAGTATCGTCTACAGATGCAATACGCCAAAGAACATCATCTACGTGCAACACGCCTACGTACAATCTCCAAGAAGTGGTCAAAAAGGGCAGAAACCAACCCATACAATAGATATAAGTTAACTTCATAAGAAATAATTTTAAGAGTTACTGTGATATTAGGATTTTCCACTGATTTGGATTGCACATTATAACATTACAACATTACAACATCATATTGCAAAACATGACACGATGCAGAAGAAAATCGATTTTAAAATCAGAAAAAACCTTTGCAAATACTTCATTTTGACAAATTCAGTAAATCACAATTTAAATATTAACAGCTGTTTCATTAAAAAGTAGTGTAAAATTATACATCTTACTTCTATACTATTATATAAAAATCTAATGGTGTCTGTCTGTATGTGTATTACTAATAGGTGCAAAAACTACTGAACTAACTGGGCTTAAATTTTACAAAAATATAGTTACCATCCCAAGGACCATTATAGGACTATTCACATTTCGATACTGACCGTAGGCTTTGCCCCTTTGGTTTTAAAAGTTCTTAGGTGAACATTTTAAAAGTAAATATTGATTGGTCTCCATGGTTGTGATGAGAACACTAACAATGTTTGTTTACATTTGCTTTGACATTTAAATATAAACAAGAACTGCTAAACTGCATATTTCACAATTTCAGACAGCTGATACAAAGAAATAATATTTTCCATAAATATGAGGTAGGTTTATTTTGATCTAACATTTTATCATGGATTATTTATTCTAAAACTATGTCAATGATTATAGAAAAAAAAGATTTTATAACCGTTGCTGTGTCAACTCCGGCTCTGCTTTGGATTTTTTAAAGCGTCTTAAGTTAATAATCTTAAGTGAAAATAATGTTATTGATATGTTTTCATGGAAACAGTATGAAAATTACAATGTATAGATTTTTTGTATGCATTAGGAGGCTACTTTAAATAAATTCAAACTGTTTCACATGTGTTAGATTAACTATAATTTGCACATCACATTGTTTTTTATATGTATATTTAGGTAAATTAAGTTATTGTGTTTTGCTAAACCTATGCTTAAATTAAACTAAAGAATACCATCAATAACTAAATTGTCTTTGATTTTTGTTTTCTAAAATCTGTTGTATATGTGCGGTAATACAAAATACTCTTTATTTTATCTTAACATAGCTTTCAGTTCAAATTTTACTTTATTTGATAAATTTATTGTTTGTGTTTTGCCACACCACTGATTAAATTAAACCAAGGAAAATATCATAAAACTAAGCAGTACACAGTGTTCTTTTGTTTCTACAATCAATTAAATATCTGTTACTATGTTTTCCTAATGGTAAATGTGAAAATGTAAAGGCAATGGACGATGGAACTGTTTAAAAGAACTTGTTTGTATACTAAGTTGTTTGTTGATATTTTTGTATAGTAGAATCAGAGATCAATGAAACATATTCTGTATTTGCTATTACATTTTTGTCCTTGATGCTTTGATAATCATATTAGTTTTGTCTGCTGTCTTTAATGCTAAATTATTTGTTTGGAATTTTTTATAGTACCTATGATAGTTTCTTTAATATTTCAAAAGACTGTATTGATAAGGCACAGCAATATTTCTAAAGTTTATAACAGCTGACTTAGTTTTGCTAATGATTTATTGTGAGTGAAAAAACTGAAGATGAAAGGATTTGTGATTTAATATAAAGAAGAGTTTAATATAAAGATATTTAAATTTAATAATTAGTATTTTTGCAACTTCAAAATTTAAATTTAAAATGTCAATAATAAATTAAAAGATGTGTGATTAAGGGAGATGAAGGTAAATCTGGTAAATCCTGTTCAAGTTTTACTCGAAGATTTGGTCAGTTTTTCTCATATCAGCCTCCAAAAGATTTAAAATTAATCAAAACCAAAATGGTGGTATCCACTACTTACCAGATTTAAAAGTCATAACTTAAACGTTTCTATTAAGGCTATAAAAGTTGAATTTTGTTTCTAAAAGCGTTGGCGGATCTGTAACTATTATATGCAAGAGATAATGATTAAAATGTTTCTATTTTGTATCCTCTTCCCGTTGCAAAGCACGGGTACAACGCTAGTATGGTTATATCAATCAATCAATCAAAACATCCTTTATTCATTATGTACAAAATATACATGAATAGTGTCAATTCCTAAGAATACCAACATAAAAATAATATAAATAAATAAGCCGTACAACACTCATCGGAAAAAGTCATTGAGCTTATAGCAACACTTGTTACATAAAAACTTAAATAAACTTTTTTTAAATGACCTGAGGGAAGATGCAGACTTAATGCAATCAGGCAGGTTGTTATAAAATTTAATACCAGAGTAGTGGGGCGAAAGTTCAAAGGTAGAAGATTTGTGTTTGGGATATGTAAGGCAGTCTTTGTGTCTTGTGTCATAATTGTGGTTGTCTGAGCTAACAGAAAATTTAGAGATGTTTTGTTTCATAAAAATTAATAAATTATAGATGTAAAGGCTAGGAAAAGTAAGAATGTTATTGATTTTAAATATATCTTCACATGAATCTCTAGTTTTGAGAGAATAAATAATTCTAATGATTCGTTTTTGCAATTTAAAAACCTTTTTCTTTTTGTCAGAATTGCCCGAAAAAATGATTCCATAATTAAGAATAGGATAAACATACCCATAGTACACCATCATAAGAGTGGAGACATCTACTGCTCTAGATAAAATATGAATTGAAAAATATGCTTTGTTTAACTTTTTTATAACTTCTGCAACGTGAGTTTTCCAGGTTAATTTATTGTCTAAAGTTAGTCCTAAAAATTTGGTACATTAAAAAAAAAACAGCATGGTATAGTGGTGTTATCATATTGGAAATTTTGATTGTGGTATTTTTTTTTTAAGTTGATTAAAAGTGACTTAGAGTGATTCAATAATAGCCCATTAGCTTGAAACCAAATTTCTACCTTATAGAATTCTTGTTTTATCAGTTGTGGAAACCTTGATTTGTCAGGATGGGTAAATATTGCAGAAGCGTTGTCAGCAAACATTACTAATTTGGAATCTAAGGCCATAGGCAAG